TGAGTCTATAGTCTCCTCTCCTTGCCAGATGCCTCCACACGGACTGGGTGGCCGTCTACAACGTGATCAACGGCAGCAGCAAACAGGAGATTGATCACTTCTGCGGAACGACGGTGCCCAACTCCGTCATGTCTGCCTCATCTGGTGGGTTTGGCCTGCCTGGGCGTCTATGTATATTACAGTAAAGGGAGGATACAAAAAATCGTGAGAGATCGAGTGAGAGTACATTCTTCATTAAATGATAAAAATTAATATCGTTCATTTCGTCTGATGATGAGTTTTGATTTTCTCTAAACGTCTTGATTTTTTTGGGGGGTTTCTTCTTTATACACACACACACACATATATGTATGTATATATATATATATATATATATATATATATATATATATATATATATAATATATGTATGTATGTATGTATGTGTGTGTGTGTATGTGTGTGTGCGTGTGAGTATGCGTGTGTGTGTGCGCGTATCTGTCTACGTATATGTACACTGATTCTTTCTAATTGATTTACAACGCCTAGTCCTCCATGAATGCCACCCTCTCTCTCGCGGATGATATTCACTCCTATACCCTAATTATAGACCTAGATTTACATCTGAAATCCTTTAGCCTGTCCGGTGAATCTCCTTTTCGCTCCCACAGGTCTCCAGCTGGTTTTTAAATCGGGGTCAAGAAGCCCGATGGAAAAAGACCTGCAGAATCCACGCATGGGGTTCTCAGCCAGGTTCAAATTCGTCTCGGGTAATGCGCAGTCTAAACTGGTTGTGTCATTTGAATGAAATATCAGGCTTTTTAACCGACTTCGGTGTTGTAAAATACCGTTTTTTATAATCTGAAAGGCTAATTTAGCATTACGAAATTTAAGACGAACCGAGGAATACGTGTTTTGTGTAATTACAGAATCAATGAATAGCATTTCCAAACTTAACAAAGAATAAAAAATAAAACAAATGACTTTAACCTACTGGCAGACCTCGGACTCAAAAGTGGACGCCAGATGTCGGACGGGAGTTGCCACTTCGTCTTCAACAGCACGGAGGCCCGGAATGGCACCCTCTATTCGCCCAATCCAGAGGGCTTCTACCCACTGGACACCACCTGCGTTTATTTCTTCTATGGTCTGCCAGGCGAGATCGTCAGAATCATTTTCAAGTACTTCGATGTGGAAGGAGTTTTGCCGTAAGGGAATTGAGCAATGCGTAGTGTATGTGTGAAGGAGAAAGGCTAGATCAGTAGCAACTCGGTGTCATGGCGTCTATTTTGATGATTGTACAGTGAAAATATAACCATAAAATCATTATTTTTCCATCGTTTTTATTGAATGGAAAGGACCCAAATGATCGACCATATTCGCAAAGCATCCGTAACTTTTGTGACGTCATCAGAATAAACCACATGTGCTTTATTCCAAAAATAGAATCAGACTCCATGACACCTCGAGTAGTTACTGACCTAGCCTTTCCCTTACGTAAAGTGGCGGGCAAAAGTCTTGAAATGAAATGAAGCTTCGAATCCGTCTCGCCCTTTACAAAAAGTGTGTTAAGCGGGTGTTCGGAACGGAATTCGAAACAGGTTGGACAAGAATTTTGACCGTGACTGTACATGCCTTTCATATTATAGGTCTATGCATGTTAACGTGTTTTATGTATTGAATGTGCATTTCCTATTTGTGCATGTGTATATTTATACACATTTTCTTTATTATTCCACTGTGCAATTTGATTGATATATATTATTGCGAACTCTATGGATGTAAAGCATGAAGTGGAATCTATGAATTATTTTTTTTTTATTTTTTTCCATCATCATTGTCATTTTATTATTATTATCTTTTTTATTATCATCATTATTATGATTATCAACATCGTGATCATTAATCTACCCCGGCTTCCTTCCTTCCTTCCTTCCCTTCCCATTCCTTCCTTCCTTCCTATCACCACCACCATCCTCACTGCTTCTCATGTTCTTCCTTCCATCCCTCTCCCACAGGTGCAATTCCGAGTCCGACAGCGACTACCTCGAGTTCTCCAACTTCCCGAGCGCCGACCGCAAAATCCCGACCTTCTGCGGCTACATGGCTCCCAACGTCATTCACAGCGACTCCTCTTACTTCAGGATGACGTTTAGAAGCAACAGCAAATTCGGAGGAACTGGATTTGCTGCCGATTACCAGTTTCTGGATAACTCGAGGCATCCCTTTGCTATTAAGAGGGTCATTGGGGCGGCTTTTGTGAATGGAGGTAATGTTTTTTTCACTGTTCAGGGTTGGTTTATGTCAATTGCGTTGATGGGTGCTGGTACATACATTGGTGGTTTTGAAGTGTTTTGTGCATATTAATTAATGTGGGTTTGTTTTCTGAAAACGTTTGGATTTGCTTGGGGTACTTACAGGGTCGTCATTTGGGGGGAGAGCAAGCAATGGTCGTAGCTTAAAAATGCTGCTAAAATAGATATAAAAAAAAAATCAGGGGGGGGATCACACATACACGCACACACCCCACATGTACATGGATTATGATGCAAATATGTTTACTTACCTACAATTTTTCTTGTTTACAGGTCAACACAGTCGAGCAAATTGCCTCCTAGTAGTGACTGTCACTTCATTGTTAATTGTCAAGACCCTGCAGTTAGGATGTTCCAGTATAAAAGAAATTGCCTAACTCTGTGGCTTTTATGTATATTGCCTTAATATGCAACACAATAAATGAATTTGAATTGATATGTAGAAATAAAAAAATATTAATTAGTATATTTCTTCCTTACCTTGAAATGTATCCAAAACATTTGTAATGAAAAAAAATCAAATAAACTGAAAATAACAATTATGTTAAAGAATAATGCAATTCAATATACTTTTGATATAAAAAGTATGGAACCACAAAACAAATTATCTTGTGGTTAATGGTTACAAAGTAAAATAAATGTGCTAGACATCAAAAATCATATAACACTATAGAAAGGTGCAATAGTGAAAAGAATAAAGAGGGGGTTAGCTGTTGGTTAAATGTGCTACACCCCAGAAGTCATATAGCAGTTCAGGTAGATAGGAGATAAATAAGGATGATTAGATCAAAGTTGTCAAATGATGAAGTGTGGGACCTTGTAAGGATGTCCATAGGGTATGGTAGGGATTAGCAAAGGTAAAATTATGTTGGGGAGAGAAATAGTCTCCACCTCTCAGGGTCCTCTTGTGGGTTAACAGCTTGGCAACTAAACAAAGGAATACCGTGCCCATGATTCCCCAAAGCCATTCATGACTGGCACGAAGTCCTTTCAGCACGGCTCTCACACCTCCTCAGCCTTCCCCAACCACGGCAACAAGAAGCATGGGACTGGAGGGGAAATTATCTTGTAGAATTAGACACATTCATAATAGGCTTTATAACCTTTTCACCTGTATTAATAGTGGAGTTAACCTGTTATATGTCTTTTCTATATTATCTAACTATCATTACAACATATCAAGTTCAAAGTGATACTTCAAAATTCTTGAAAAATTCCTAATCATCATTAGACTTTCACAAATTGTGTAAAAAAATTAGGTTTCTGAAATATGAAATATGGGAAAATGTGTTGGGTTTAACAGTTTGGAAATATCAGTAAAACACAAAATGTATAATATTTTGAAAATTATATATATATTTCTTTAAAAATATGAGTTATGAAAAAAATACAACTGCATAACCAGCTCTGTTACATCATTCAATTCTTAGATATTCTCTAGAAATAACTCATACACACCATTCTCCAATATAATATAATGATTATTTTTGTCAGATGCTAGAGCTCTTTTCACTACAAAAGCTAAGCAAAAAAATATAAGTGTTAAGTACAAACTGCACATATAAACAAGTAGAAAATGTATGAATGAGAATGATTATCTTCACAATACAAGCAATGTGTTTGACCAGTTTTGATTACATCTTCATAAGTACATACATGTATTTCTGAAGAAGGTGTAATCAAAACCAGTCAAATACGTCTTTCACACTATGAAGTTATTCCTTCTCATTCATACCTTATCTACAATTGTCACAATCAACACTGCTCATATAAATAGGTCTTGGTGATGGATGAGACCTTTGTAGGTAATTTTAGCCGCCATAAATTTGTGTAGTTTTTCACATGGTCAGGTTTTCTTTCCAGTTATAATTTTTTTCATTTCCCTACACACACATAATTTGTTTTCATTGTTTATCTAGGGCGATGTGTCTAAATTACACCTGTATAATATGTACTCAGTATTAGAACAATCATAATAGTGAAACCATTGTGATTCCAATTTCTAAAACATAGGTCACTGAAAGCCCCACCACTCCAAATACCATAAATATGAGCCAAGGAAAATCATTTGTAAAAATCCCCTTAATACATTTACCATCATTCTGCTCTCCTTTTTTTAAAAGCCCTTTAAATCTAAAATAAGTAAAGCACTGCCATAACTAAAGAGATTAGATTCTGACAAAAGATACTTAGGTAGACAAGTGAGTAAAATATGGCCAAATCCTAAGTAAAAGACAAAAGAACCTAAAACTTTAAAAGACTAGATCAAGCACTACATACAAATCAACTATAAATACCAATTAACATAGAGTTGGATTAACTAATCTCCACATGAAAAAAGAAAGCAAAACTTTGTGCTTTGATTTCATATAAGTACTTTATAAATACATACCTTTATATACAAAGTGTATAATCATATAAATATTCGCACAGAACAGTAAATGTAAATATATGTACTTATGACTATTCATAATGCATGTGTGTATGTTTCTGTACTCATGTATGTATATATAATTTCAATTCTATTTACAGTATCAAATATTTGATCAAACAACTGTTCTTTTGACCATTCCTTCTAAATCCGTGTGTCTGAAGGCACTTCTCCTTGGCCATAGAACTTGCGAAGACCTCGGACAAGTTGATAATGACGACGACCATCCAGATACAACATGGCCTCTGAAAAAGGAAAAGAAAAAATAAACACAGTACTACAAAATAATACTCTGTTATGAGCAATTAAGCAATACAATGTTCATACTTTTTCCAATTGCTTTGTTAATGCATACTAGTAATAACACACATTTACCTTCCTTTTTTAAGAAAGACCAATTCTGAATATAAGAATTTTAAAATGTAAACATTCTTTATTCTATGACATTTACCATACAGTGGAATCCCTCTATCATGGATTCCTCTATCACCTATACCCACTTTCTAGTCCTTGTAAAACTGTTTATTATAAGAAAGAGTAATAATGGAAAAAATAGTACTTACATAAATCAATATCTACACTATATTGCTTATTCTTTATAAACAACAACAACAAAAATCAACTATCAATTCCGACATATCTATTCCTTTACTCACATTAAGTATCTTTTCCAAATAAGTTTACAGTAAATCACAGTCTTGTAGGAAATTAAGGCATTAGTCTATCAAACTAACCGTGATAAGTTCGAGGCAAGACGGTTGGACCAGGTCGCATCACTTCGTAAGTGAAGTGGAAAATGTTTGTGAGGTTGATTTCTGAGGTTACAGCATCCATCACACTTGCTTTTGTGCTGACTTGAATGTGTGTCCCCTCAGTGTAAACAACCTTAGAGTGAAGAGGGGATATTTTAGTATATCATTCATAAGAAATTGACTATTTCAGCAATAGTTTACATTAATGAATTATAAAATAATCATATCAATGCTGTCAAATGTCTAGAATTTTCCCAAAAGTACATAAAACAACCAACCTGTGAGTTTAGATACAGGAGTGATCCAATCTCTACTGGTTGATGTCATCCATTAAGTATCAATAGTAACAATCAAGAGGTGGCATTCTGAGTAATATATATGCAAGATACATGTGACATGTTCTTAGATGTGGTACATGGCTGGAATAAGTGAAATGCGTGGCCTTTGTTATTCAGTATCAATAGTAACAATCAAGAAAATATATATGCAAGATACATAACATGTTCTTAAACTTCCTTTTTCATATACATATGTAACATTCAAAACTTTAAATAATAAGAAGAAAATAAGGAAAAGTTAATGTTATTTGTGAATGATATCCAAACTCTAATCATGAAGTAAGTGTTTAGAATAAATCCTACAGCTAATCCTTAATTCTTGTTACTTATCCTGCATAATCAAAAAGTTCCATCTACGAAATGGTTATAGATATTAGGAACTAGTCAATGAGTACGTTGAGTTCTTGGCAATCTCTATTTCTCCTTTTTCCTTCTACTTTTTTCCCACCTTGTTAATCCTAGGAAAATATACAGTAATTGTTTTAATGTTCACTTCCCACCTAGGCAATGCATTGGTAAGCATAGTCCTGGCAATCCTTTTGATAGGAACTTCAGTGTCTCAAAAACCAAGCTGTCTGATAGGGGTGCAGCTACTTTTTCTTACTTGGGGAAGGAGAGCAGGCACATATTTTCAAAAAAACATACTTCCTGTTCCTATAAAATCATCTGTCCATATGTAAGACACAAGAAGACTAATTCTACATTAATCACAGTTAATACTGATATTATTATCAATGCTATTGTTATCATTATTACATGAGACAGGAAGACCAATTACATTATCATTAATGTCATCAGCTGACGAGAGAATATATCTAATTCTTGAGAGGTATCATACATAAAACTGTTTTCTGCCCTAAAGAATTTTTTGATCTTTAGAAATCTTTGTATTTACAGTATCTATATTTTAGAATAAATATGAAACTTAACATTCTGCCATGAAAAGAAAAGGAAATCACACTTCGGTTGTTTCATTACCCTAAAATAATTCAAAGGTTTCAGGAATTGATACGAGAATGGCTCTTTGCCTTAATAATATATAAGCTTTAGTCTAAGAATAAAACTTCAGAGATAACTCTAAGTATTATCAGAGAAGGTTAATAATAATATAACTTGATTAAATCTTAGTATTAGAAAGAGTGAATGAAGGTGTGACAAAATGGCTCTTTTGGAAAAGAAGCAATATTCACAACAAAGCTGAAATACAGAGAGACAGTAAGAAAGGGAGAAAAAGAGAAACAGAGGAAGGTGAAATGAGTGGAAAAGATAAAGATGGAACAAGAGAAATGGATGAAAAAAGAAACAGATACGGATGGAAAGATAAGAGGAGACAAAGATACTTCAAGAGAATGAAAGAAGATATGGAAAAGATTAAAATAGAGGAAGAGATAAAGAGAGGAAGAGAAAGCGAGGAACAGATAAAGGTTCAAGACAGCAGAAGAAGAGCTATATATAAAAGAGGACAATCAGAAAAAAGACAAAGAGAGACAAAATGAGAGAGAAGAGAGAAAGGCTGACAAAAAAATCTTGAATGTTAACGTGCCCAATAAAATCTAATAAAACTTCCAAATGGCAAAAATTTTCTTATTCCTTTCTTCATACCAGGAATGCAGTGAATTTCAAGAGAAATGCAGCCTAGCAGTTGCTCCTTCCTAGTTTCATTCATTATGGGTTTAGCATTTCATAAAAACTTCTGCAATCACAGATATTCAAATATTCTTTTAAATACAAATTCAGTAAGCCTTACTGCCTAAAGAAAGATAAACTATAGTCATTCCAGAAAAGCAAATTGGTATAGTGTATACATATACACACATATGTATATGTATACTTATCAAAACAGGCTTTATGTTAAATTCGCAAAGTACTCTTGAAATCTTTCAACCACATTTATATCATGCAATAAACATTCAGTCTCAATTACATCATGCGAGACTCATTCAATCCCATTTACATCATGCACAAACTTTTCCACCAAAAATACTTCTAGACAGAGTTCCATCATACTCTAAAGTCACCATCCAATGACCAAGGAGATACATTCATCTGCAAATGGCAATACTAACCTAAGTACCGAGACATTAGCCCAAGAAAGCTCAAATGCCTTCCTCATCAAGAATCCACCAAAGATTTTGTTGAAGATATTGCGAGACTGAAAGAAAGAGATACCCTATTGGTTTGTGTTTGGTGGTTATATTCTGTATGTGTGTGTGTTTGTGTCCTTTGTAGTACTAGTACGGTGGGACTTTCTGTGGAACTTTGACACCCAGCCGAGGTTGCAGGCAAAGAGGGACGACAGGACCTCAAGGTATGCCGGAGGAGAAAGCAGATGGCTTCCTGGTTGAAGGTTTTTCTTCCAAGTTTCATTCACTATGAATAGTTAACTACTAGAAAAAAGAAAAAAAGAAAAAGAAAGAAAGAAAAAAAATGGAAAAAGACATTCTGTACAGCATTATGTATTAGGGTCACATGTATATTGTCTAATTAAGATACAAACAGAGCAGGATTACTTATCAAATCATTCACCAATTACATATCTCAAGCAGGAATTTGCACAAAACACCAACTTGATCAATATCAGTTACAATCTACCTATATAACAACTTAACTACATAAATCATACATTTTGCAATACAAATCAGCTTCTGCTTGGTTTTCCATATTTCTTTTCTCCCAAAAATATCTGATAACACTATTTCACACAATAAAAAAAATCAATTCCTGATATGCAGGTATGCTGGAAAATCACAAAATGAGAAGCAACAAAAATCAGATGTTTTAGCTTTTCATCCAGTAACAGATTACAAAACTGGGAGAATATATGAAAACCGCTAACAATCCAAATGTATTAGTAGAAAATAAGAAAACATTCATTTCATGAATTTCATAAAGTGTTAGACAAAAAGAACAAAAACGAGTGCAGCACTATTACTTTTAATGCTCCATAAATGGAAAGATAATTTGAACTTGAGCTTGATTAAAAAGAAGAGGAATTGTTAACAGAAACTGCCAGGAAGCTTTCTGAAGTATGATCAAATCCATTCTAAATATTCAGCTGTTGGAATAAAACCTTAAACTATTATTCTTTCCCCAAAGTCTAAATTCCTTTTATCATTCTACTTCCTCATCACTGCTTGAAAATTTAAATTCTTTTTGTATTTCTTTTTACTAATCCCAGTTTAAATAGTGTCTGTAACTGTAGTTGTAGAGTAGTTTAATGATAAAAGAAATCTTTACGAAAATCAGTAAATACTTCTATCACTTTCTATTACTGTGGAACTCATCAGAAAATGCATCTATCAATCAGTGTAGATATTATTAGGTATGTATCAAGAAGCTACAGAACAGAATCAGTGTGAGAATGATGATGTTCACTCCAAGCATTCATAAACTTCAAAGCATGTTCAGGAATAGGAAAAAGTACATAGAACCTATTGTCAACTAGCGACTTTCTAAAGTCATTCTGAATATTTCATCAAGGAACACTTACATCTGAACCCCTTGTTGCCATTGGCATGCATGTGGCAAACTGGCCATATTTTTATGGAATTATAAGCACTTTCTAGTGTTCACAATCTGAAGAATAATTGCTCTTTAGTATTCAGTTTAGTTTTGATAGGTATGTGTTTGCTTTTTGCTATTTTAGGTGGTCTACGGAAAAGAAAATTAAAGGAAAAAAAAAAGACAGATCCAATGTTAACAGGCTACTCGTCAGGGGCTTCATTTAGATGGCATTTAAGGGGCATAAAGAACAATGGCAAAAGTGGAAGACTAAAAACATCACAGTCACGATCTGAATGACAATAGATTCATGAATTGCTATTCCAGGAACATGGTTGAGGGAATGATTACACACACTACTGACCTATACGTAAAGGCACATGCCCAGCCTAGTTCATAGGCTTGACGCATGAGAAATCCGCCAAACACCTTCTTGAATCGGTTCCTGTGCTGTGGTTAGGTCAAATGTACTCATGTTAGGCTACTTAAAAAAAACAAGAAGAAAAAACTTAGTAGTTCAATTACGGGCTTTGTATATCTGTATACATTTTTTCTTCTATAATTTCACCAGTATAAGGAAAAAATCTTCTAATCTAAGTTTCTTTAAAACCTACAATAAAAAAACTAGCTACAAAAATTAGAAACTAAGACAAACAACATAAACACACCTGTCCCAAATGTACC